GTGCTCTTAACCACTGAGCCATGTCTCCAGTCCTCCAAAATAAAATCTTTAAAAAGAAGTAAAGTCAACAAAGCCAGGACAGGCTAACTGTCCGTCTGTACCCAGCCACTCCCAGCAGGCCCGGCCACGCCCACCAGCTTCCTCCATCCTAGTTGCTGTTTGCTCACAATACCCTTTCCACTGACGCTCACAATGGCTCTGTTTGGGGTCAGAGGGCTAGCTCGGTAAAGCAAACACAAGGACCTAAGTTACAACTCCAGAACTCACCTAAAAAAGCCTGGTGTAGGGCTGGAGAGACGGCTCAGAGGTTAAGAACACTGACTGCTCTTGCAGAGGATTCGGGTTCAATTCCCAGCACCTACATGGAGGCTAACAACTGTCTGTAACACCTGTTCTAGGGGATCCATTGCCCTCCTTCTGACCTCCACAGGCACTGCACAACACAGGTGCACTTGCATACATGCAGGCAATACACTCATACACATAAAAAAAAAAAAGAAAATTAGATAACAAGGCTTCTAAGTTTGACAGTTGAGGACATGGAAGATCACAGGTTCCACTGATTCAGTGTCTGGATTGTGTCTATCCTGTTGGTTTCATAGATGAGCTGGCCAAGAGGGAATGGGAGGGGCCATTGCAGAGGACCTGGGATGGGCTGAAGCCCTCCCACCCACCTCCTTTCTTCCCTTGTCCCCAGCACAACCTTAGTACCACCCCCTTGCCTGTCCGTTGTGGCTACTTTCATAGATGGCATGGCAGTCAGTGAGGTTTCTCTCCTGTTACTGTTGAGTCATTCTTCCCTTGAGTGCCCCAGTTAGTGGGGACTCTCCCCACCTTCAAGAAATGAAGGGTAGCTACTCAGATGACCTCAGCTCAAAGTGGAGGAACTTTCCAGGCGTGTGGGGACAAGCTTGTGGTGTGGTAGATTCTCCATTGCTGTGGTATTTAAATGAAGACTGTGGGAGCTTTCTGTAGTAGGCTGAGGCTGGGTCTAGGCCTTTAAGGCTCTTCTAAGATTTTATGAGTCATTATAAGACAAAATTTAGCCTATAGATGAGGGTCAAATACAGGACACATAAGAACTTTGGGGTAAGATAAACTTAGGCTTGAAACCTGGTTCACTGGCACAGTATGGTGCATCTGAGATACTTGAACCCAGGAGTTCAGGGTCAGACTGGGCAATACAAAGGTCTGTCTGGGCAATAGTAAAGATTCCCCTTCTCAAAAACAAAACATGTGGGGCCAGCAAAATGGCTCAGCAAGTAAAGGTACTTGCTGCCAAGCCTGATGACCTGAGTTGGAGTCCTGGAACCCATATGGTAAGAGAGAACTTCCACAGTTGTCCTCTGACCTCCACATGTATACTATGGCATGCAGGCCCACATACATACACATACACAAAGAAACAAACAAAAAGTAAATAAAATTTATTTTATGAATCTTTTACCTGCATGTATCTAAGTGTAATGCCTGTGGAAGCCAGAAGAGGGTGTCAGATCCCCTGGCAGTGCTGGCGATGGAACCTAGGGCTTCATGCACCTAGCTGAGCACTCAACCAACTGAATCACATTCCAGCTCCTTGGGATTGCTTTCAGTACAATGTATGATGTGTACGAGTATGATGATGTTTATGCTCTGCCTGGTGTAAAATGGGGCTCAGTAAATCATGCTTGTGGCAGCTCTTCAACAAATGGCCAGGTCATGGATTGGCAGATAATTTGCTGACCTTTTATTACCCAGCTGAAGGAAAGAATTAAATCCATGTGTTAACCAAGGGCCTGAATGTCTGGATATGTAACATGACCAGGAAGCCAGCTCTGAGGGTAACGATCTCTGAGATAATCATAGAAACCATGGCACACAAACAAGTGGGTAAAATCAAGAAATGCTCAGGGATTCTTAGGGTCGGAGGAATGGCTCAGGGGTTAGGAGTGCTTTCTGACCTTGCAGAGGACCTGGTTCAGTTCCCAGCACCCACAATGGGTGGTTCACAACTGCCTGTAACTCCAGTTCCAGAGAATCTGACACCCTTTTAGGACCTCCTTGGGTCCCTGCACACATATGGTGCACATAAACTCACACAGACACACATATACATACATATTAAAACAGGAAGAAATGCTAAGGGATCCTGGTATACAGGCCAACAACTGAGACTGAGTCTCTGACCCAAATGGAACATGCCAGAGAGTTGTGGGAACAGGAATGGACAAGTTGTCATTAGCCTTCTGAGTGTGCAGCCCAGGTGATGGAAAACTTGCTATTTTCCAAGACATCCGAAGGAAACTCCTCAAATTTCCCAGCTTGTTTTCCACATTTGCCAGCCAGGAATCAGAACTTTCTAACAGTCATGTCCTCTAATTGATATCTGACCCCGGTAGTATAAGAACTCTGTGACAACACGGCTGGCTGAGGTGAAGGGAGGGAGCCAGAGGGATCTGTGCAATGTGGAAGTAGGCCTTGGGCATTCTCAGAAGCTGGGATTAAGGACGTGTACCACCAGGCCTGGGCCCCTTCCTCCATTTTTAATGCTGTGTATCCCTGGGCTCAGCATGGGCTCTCCTTTCTTCTCTATTCTATCTGTAGATCAGCACTTCTCAAAATTCAATCTGCACACAAACCACTTAGCATTATTAAAATGTGAATTCCCTCTAATCCTGCCTGTAGATGGGCCTGAGAGTCTGCATTTCAGTCAGGCTCCCAGGTGGCAATGCTGCTGGTCCATGGACCGCATTTGAGAGACCCAGTCTCCCCAGTTTACAAACCTTCAAGCTAATGACTGGTGCTTATATTTAGTTTGGACCCTTCTCCAGACTTCAACTTCTCCTTCTCTTCCTTTATTTTTGAGTGTCTCAGATAGCCTCAAACTCAATAATGTAACCTGAGGCTAGCCTTAATTTACTTCTCAAATGCTGGGATGACAGGCTTAGGTCACTACACCATGCTCAGAATTCCAGCCTCTAAAGGACCACATGCATGTCTGGTACCTGCAGAGGTCAGAAGAGGGTGCCAGTCTCCTGGTTGTGAGCCGCCATGTGGGTCTGCTGTAAAAACAGCTAGTGCTCTTTACCACGGAGCCATCTCTCCAGCCCCTCTAATGATAATTCCAAGTTGATATTTCTGTTTGGATATTTAAAAGGTACCTCTCACAGAGCTCCAAACACTTTCCTTAAACTTGGTCCTTCCTAAATCCACCCCAAACCTAGAAATCCATTTTCTGAGAGAGCCTCATGTAGCCCAGGCTGACTTTGAACTCACTGTGTAGCTGAGGATAGGTTGATCCTAGGCTACATCAGACTCTGCCTAAAGCCCAAATCAAACCAAATAATGAAGACCTTGATCTTCCTGCCTTCACCTTTTCAAATGCTGGGATTACAGGCCTGTGCCACCACACCCAGCTTAGAAAATATCCTTTTGTTTTTCTTAATTAGTATTGTGTATATGACGTATGCATGTGATTATGGGTGTACACACCACAGCATGCCTATGGAGGTCAGAGGACAACCTGCAAGAGTTGGCACTCTTTTTCCACAATGGGTTCTGCAATCTATCTTGGGTTGTGAGGCTTGCATGGCTGTACCCCCTAAATGTAAAAAAAAAAGTTATTTATGCTAGGCATGGTTGTGCATACCTTTAATCTCAGCACTTGGGAGGTAGATCCAGGTAGACTCCCTGAGATGGGGGGTCAGCCTAGTCTACACTGAGTTTCAGGCAAGCTGGGGCTACAGGGAGAGCCTGTCTCAAGAAAAAAAAAATCATTCTTATGTACAGGAGAGTTTTCCCTACACACACACACACACACACACACACACACATATGTGTGTGCCCATGTGAGCAATGCTTGTGGAGGCCAGAAGAGGGCAACTGATCTGGAAATGGAATTCCAGATGGTTGTTACCTGCTATGTGGCTGTGGGGAACCAAACCTGGGTCCTCTGCAAGAGGAGCCAGTGCTCTTAACTGCTGAGCATCTCTCCAGTCTAGTCCTTAGATTTCTATGAAGAGCTTTCATTCTCACTTAGAATTAAACCTTAATGTTCAATTCTGGCCTACAAAGCTCCGCTTCCTTTCCAGCCTCATCGTGTGCAAACTCCTGGTTCTGTGCTTGTACAGCAAGCACTTTACCAACTGAGCCGTTTCCCCATCCCCATCCTCTCAGCAACCTGTGTCTCAGAGTCTGCCAACTCTACCTCCTATTTTGACTGGCCCCTTCTTACCTTTCAGACCTCAGCTTCTGGGTCACTATCCAGAGAGACCTTCCCTGAACCAATCTCTTACCCCACCTTAACTCTCTGAAGGTCTTATTTCCATTTCCCCTACCAGAGGTAAGTTCCATGACCTCACTTTCTGCCTAGCTTACCAGTGTCTAGAAAGCATTTATTGTATGAGAAAAATGTCATTCCCCTCTCTGAGCCTGTTTTTCCACTCATAAAATGGAGATAACAGCAGAACATCCACTTGACAGGGTGGTTAAGATCAGGTGCTAGGGGTAAAGTGATAGGGCACTTGCCTAGTATATGTGAGGCCCTGAGTTTGATTCTTAGCATCATAAAGTGGGACAGAAGGAAGAAGGAAGGACAGTGGCAGAGCGCTTGCCTAGCATGCATAAGAAAGTTCCTGGGTTTGAGTCTCAGCACCACAAAAAGGAAGGGAAGACACATACATTAGGGCCAGCCATGGTGCTGTCACTTGTCACTGGTGGCTACCTAATACCATTACTGTTATCCACATAATGGAATCCCCTGGTAGGAATAAGGGAAGGACCCGAGGGATTCTCACCTGCCCCTTAGCTCTAAGCAAGTAGGCTAACTGGTCCTGGTCCATTTCCTGTCACTGCCAAAGTCCTCAACAAGGATCAATGGAAGACCACGTGCTTCGGCTGGATTAAGTTTATTAGAAAGGCCGTGGACAGATGAACCCTGAGTTACCAGCTGAGGAGGAAATGAAAAAAGCCCTCGACTCTCATGGCCCACCCCACTGGCCTCGTGTGAATTCTGGGGGCAGTGGGGGGGGGGGGATGTGGATGCTGGTGCCTGGAGTAAAGAGCCAGCAGAGTGGGGTCCTTGGCTCTAGCAGAAAGTGGTTCTAGAACCCCAGCAGAACAGAATGGAAAAGGAGCTGGCTGGAGACTGAGTTCTGCTGAACAGCCAGTGGCTCTGAGAGGCAAAGCTCGGCTGCTTGGAGGTGTGTGCAGATGGCTCCAGATGGCCAACTGAGTGGTGCCCAGGGCAGGGCTCCAAAACTGATCAAGGGAGTCTTAGCCACACACAGCCTCAGTGTGACTCAGTGCCCCTCCTGGGACAGCAATGGCTAATTTTGTGCCCAGAAAGGTACATGGATCTTGTAAAAAATCCATGGTAGTTGATGCCATCTTTTTTTGTTTTTTTTCCTTAAAAATAGTTTGTACAGTGAATGGACTTCACCCAAAAGAGCCTGAGCCTGGAAGAGTCCATCCTGGGGAAGAAGGCACTTCACACCCTCACTGGGGTGATCTGGGCTGGCTGCTTCCCAGGTCCCTTGGGACTCCACGTCACTTAGTTCTGTGACTCAGGCCTGCTCCCTCTGGGAACGATGTGCTTCCATGGAGCTGTCTGTGCTGGGGTTCACAGGGTGGTGGATGGCAGCTTCCTCACCCGCCGCTGGGCCAGGATAGACGATTCAATCGGCTTTAGCTGGGGGGTGGGCTTGGAGCTGTTGAGTGCAGAGTATGTGGCTGCCATGGCTCCCTAAGAGAGAAGATGGAAGGTCAGCTGACGAAAGTGCAGCGGGGATGGACAGACCATGTACCCCAGGGTCTGGCCCACCCTGAATCCCACAGCCCACGCCACCCACTGTTTTCAGCCTTGGTGGTCTGTCATGGTCACTGGTTCTCCTTGGGGTACAAGAACACAGTGACAGCACTGCTTATCAGTCTGGGGTGCCCTGAGCGCAGGGCTATGTGTTCTGCTGTATCTCCTGGTTTTGGGCACAGACATGGAGTTACTTGGCTCTGCCACTTCAAGCCTCTGGTCTGAGCCCTACCCCATTCCCCGGATGCTTAACAGCCCCAGTGGCCATGTTTACCTTTACAAGCTGCAGGTCTTGGTGGGACAACTGACTCAGGGGGAGCTTGTCTTTCTGGGTGATCCATGGGTGCTGCAGGACCTGCTTGGCTGTAAGGCGCCGGTGGGGATCCACGTGTAACATCTTGGACACGAGATCCTGGGGACATAGTGGATAAGGAGGTGAATCCATTCTTCACACAGCCAAAGCCTCCCTAAACACAACCCAGGCATCCCCTTCCATGTGTGATGCTCCAGAAACTTCTGGGGACATCCTTCCCTTTCTTTTTCTTTCAGGAAGTCAAGTGGGAAGGTGGGAATTGCCTAAAGATTAAGGGTCAGGCAGACCCAGGTTTAACTTTGATTCTTCCTGGGCTGGGGATATGGCTCAATGGTTGAAAGCTTGCTTAGCATGCACAAGGCCCTGGGATCCAAGTCCAGCACTACAAATAGCAAAAACAAAACAAAACGAAAAAGAAAACCATGAAAAAACAAACATGCCAGGTGTGTAATCCCAGCACTTAGGAGGCAGAGGCAGGAGGATATCTGTGAGATGTCAAGTTTCAGGCCAGCTGGGGATATAGGAAGACCCTGTCTCAAACAAACAAACAAACAAGCAAGCAAACAACAGAACATCCTTGGCTACATAGGGCTGGAAGGCCAGTACAGGCTATGAGACCCTGCCTGAAAAAAAAAACAAACCAAATAAAACCAGACAAACAGGGCTGGAGAGATGGCTCAGCAGTTAAGAGTGCTTACTTTTCTTGCAGAGGACCCAACTTTAGTCCCCAGCAGTCACGCTGGGTGGCTCACAACAACCTGTAACTCCAGCTTCAGGGAATCCGATGCCTTCTTGCCTCTGAGGCACCTGCACTTATGTACATATACCCACACAGACAACATATGCACACATATAATTGGTGCCTCAACTTTCACCAGAGAAGCTTCTTCTTGCAGTAGATGGAGATTAACACAGACCCACAATTGGTCAAAGTACAAAGAATAAGAGACTGTGAGTGCTTGGCCCTAAGTGGGATATCTACACCACAATCTCTCTTCCTAAGGCTTAGGGATCATTGTTGAAGAGGGGGTGGAAAGATTGTAAGAGCCAGAGGTGGTGGATGTGAATACAAGGAAACGATGTTGCTTGAACACAACAGGGCAGTTACACACAGGAGCCCACAGCACTTGTGACAGTGTGCACAAGACCTGGTTAAGTTCAAGAGACAAAATCCCAGCATGGATGGGGGAGGTAGGCAAGATGTCCCAAGCTTATCTGAAGAATTCTTAGCAACTGATAACATCTGGGAGAGGTAGAGTCAGTTTTCTTTACAGGTGTGATGCTAGGTGGGTTGACTAGACCCAATGGATGCACCCACTCCCAAGAACATTTGGAGAACACAAATAAGATGTTAAAAAAAAAAAAAAAAGGCCTAGCCGGGTGTGGTGGTGCACCCCTTTAATCCCAGCACTCAGAAGGCAGAGGCAGACGGATCTCTGTGAGTTCAAGGCCAGCCTGGTCTACACAGTGAGTTCCAGGACAGCTGGGGCTACAAGGAGACCCTGCCTCAAAAAAAAGCCTTAAGAAACATAATAGAGGATGTGAAGTTGGGAGGGGCGGTATAGAGAGGTGAGGGTGGAGATGGGGGAGGGGTCAGAATATGGAACTCTCAAAGAATCAATAAAAATTTTATTTTGTTTTTGAGACAGGGTCTCCCTACAGTCCCAGCTGGCCTGGAACTTGTTATGTAGACCTGGCTGGCCTTAATCTCACAGAGGTCCACCTGCCTCTGCCTGCCAAGTGCTTGGATTAAAGGCATGCAACAGCCCACAATATATTTTAAAAAATAAAAGTAGGGGCTGGAGAGATGGCTCGGTGGTTAACAGCACAAGCTGTTCTTCCAGAGGACCTGGGTTTGATTCCCAGCACCCGCATGATGGCTAACAACCATCTGTTATTCTAGTTCCAAGGGATCTTCTGCCCTCTTCTGGCCTCCACAGGCATTGCATGCACAATTGCACTTACAGACATGCAGGCAAAACACTCATACACATGAAATAAAAAGAAATAAGGGGCTGGAGAGATGGCTCAGTGGTTAAGAGCACTAGCTGCTCTTGCAGAGGACCCGGGTTCGAGTCCTAGAACCCACATGGCAGCTAACAACCATCTGTAACTCCAGTTCCAGGGGGTCCGATGCCGTCTTCTGACCTCTGCAGGCATTGCACTTACGCACATGCAGGCAATACATTCATATACATAAAATAATAGTAATTAAAAAAACATAAAAATAAACCCACTCCCTGGTGCCACTTGTGGGGGGCCCAAGTCCTTCTGATCGAGCCCCCCCACAAAAATAAAAAAAAAAATAAAAATAAACGTAAGCTGAGCATGGTGGTGCACAGAGGCAAGTGGATCTCTGTGAGAATAAGGCCAGCCTGGTCTACATAGCAAGTTCCAGGCCAGCTGAGGGCTGTCTCAAAAAACAAAACAAAACAAAACAAAACCAAAAAAACAAAATAGAAAATCACCTAAAGCACCCGGGCATGGTGGCACTTTCCTTTAATCCCAGCACTCCAGACACAGAGGTTAAGTGGAGCTCTGTTAGTTTGAGTCCAGCCTGGCCTACATAGATAGTTACAGGCCAGTCAGAACTACATAGTGAGATCCTGTCTCAACACAACAAAAACACCTCAAAAAGAAACAATATACAAACAGACACCCCAAACTTGACTCTTCCAACTTGTGTGTCCTGGACAAGTTACTTCAACTCTCTGAGCCTTGATTTTTCTTCTGAGAAGTAGAGATAACAACGCTTGCCTCATAGGCTGGCATGAGGTGGAGCTGTTCAGGAAGGGCTCAACCCTGAGCTAGGCACAGAGGCTTTCAGTAACTGGAAACTTACTAGTATCAAAAGTTCAACGGCAGTCACCTTCAAGAAGGGTTTCCACATGGCACACACAGTTTTTTTGTGCTTCCATGGCCTGTACCCAGGGCTGTAGCCTCACCTCCATGTGCAGGCCTGTATTTCCCACACAAAGTTTCCACAAGGAAACTGCAACTAGGCAGCCCTCTGTGTTCCATAAGGCCCAGAACATAGAAGGGCCAGTGAATGATCAATCACTAAGTTACCCAAACAAACAGGTGGAGGGGTCTCTGTTTGGAATCTTCTACTTAGGGAAATACTGTGGAATATTCTACTTAGGAGAAAGAGGCTGCAGGAAACTTGCCCTTGAACTGCTGAAAAGCCTTAAGTAAGAGCCTGCCTCCCTCCTCTGGGCCTCAGGCTCACCTTGGCTGTCTCTGAAACCGTGTTCCAGTTCCCCCCACTGAGGGTAAACTTCCCACTGCCGATCCGGCTGAGGATCTCCTCTGGAGTGTCACTGGGCCCATTGGCAAATGGAGTGTATCTAGAGAAAAGCCCACAGAAGCTGAGTTCAGTCTCTCCTGTCAGACACTAAGGACAGAGGACAGGGCTGTGCACTCACCCTGCCAGCATGGTGTAAAGGAGAACGCCCAGGCTCCAGATGTCACAGCCTTCATCATAGCCCTGGCGCTTCAGCACCTGGCGGGAGGTGGGGGAAGGCGGTCAGGCTGAGGGGCAGTAGGAAGTGGGAACATATGTCGCCAAAAGGGTAGATAAGAATCCCAGCCATGGGTTACAGGTCTTCCCACAGCACCTGGGTCAACGTTAGGAACACACAGTTATAGACAGTGTGGGACTCCCAAGAGTGGGCACAAGGCCTTCTGTTGTCCCGACTTACCTCAGGCGCCACAAAGTTGGCCGTGTAGCAAGGTGTCATGAGGAGCCCGTTCTCAGCCCGCAGCTGCTTGGCAAAGCCAAAGTCACAGATGCGCAGGCACTCAGGGTTCCCAGACTCATCCACGTACAGGATGTTACTGGGCTTCAGGTCCCTGTGAACAACCTAGGGGCAGAAGGCTGGGGTCAGTCTATGATGAACGGGGCTACTAGTGGACCAAGGCAACTGTAGGGGCTAAGAAAAATCACAGACAGAGAGAGGGAAAGACCCAGAACCTGAGAGGAGGGGAAAGTGCTGAAATGGGGGCCCTAGAACCGTGAATCGCCTTCTTGAAATCTCTGTGTTGTCTGTGTAGCTCTGACTAAACTCTCCCTCCGATCTCCCTGTCGCTCTTCAGGGCAACCCCATCCTTCCTGTTGTACGGTCCTTTCCCTTTTCTTTTTACTTTCTTGCATACTCCTCAAATTCTACCCACAAACTCTGCTGGCTCTCCAGTAAAACACACCCAGAGTCCCACCACTCTCAGCTCCTCTCCCAAAAGGGCTGCCATCCCCACTGTCATCACCTGCCCCTGGGTTCCTCTATCACTAGAGTGAGCCCGTTAAACATAAATCAGGGGTCAGTGAGATGGCTCAGTGGAGAAAGGTGCTTGCAACCAAGCCTGATTACCTGAGTTTGATCAACAGAACCTACATGGTGGAAGGAGGAAACCCACTTCAGCAAGCTGTACTCTGACTTCCATACCATGGCATACACGTGTGTGCACAGGTATGCACAAACACATACACATAAACAATAAAATAAATAAACATGTAAGTTAAAGGACTGGAGAGACAGTTCAGCAGTTAAGAACACTTGCTGCTTTTACAGAGGACCAGGCTTCAGTTCCCAGTACCTACATGGGGGCTCACAATTGTCTCTAGCTCAAGCTCCAGGGGATCTGATGCCTTCTTCTGGCCTCCTCAGGTACCAGGCATGCAGATGGTATATACACACATACATGCAGGCACTTGCATACACACAATAAAATAAAAATAAATTAATCTGCTGGGCGTGGTGGTGCACACCTTTAATCCCAGAACTTCGGATTTGTGAGTTCAAGACCAGCCTGGTCTACACAGCGAGTTCCAGGCCAGCTGGGGCTACAGGGAGATCCTGTCTCAAAAAGACTCATTTAAAAAAAAAATCTTTTAAAAAAGTAAATTTAGGCCGGGTGTGGTGGTGTACACCTTTAATCCCAGCACTTGGGAGGCAGAGGCAGGCAGATCTCTGTGAGTTCAAGGCCAGCCTGGCCTATATAACGAGTTCCAGGACAGCTGGGGCTACAGGGAGACCCTGTCTCAAAAAGACAAAAATAAAATAAAATAAAATAAAATAAAGTAAATTTAGCTGGGCATGGTAGCATGTGGCTTTAATCCCAGCACCCAGGAGGCAGAGAGGCCAGTGGAGCTCTGTGAGATCAAGGTCAGCCTGATTGACATAGTGAATTTCAGGCCATCTGGGGCTATAGCGAGACCCTGTCTCACAAAAAAAGGAAGGTCTGGTGATGTAGCTCAGTGGTAGAGCACCTGCCTAGCATGTGCAAGGCCCTAAGCTCAATGCCCAGGACTGAAAAGACAAAGAAACAAACAAACAAGGAAAGTCCTAAGAGCTCCTGGGCCCACCTGTGCATTCTCTCCCCTGCCCCTCATCCATGGCTCTAAGAGCTCTGACCCAGTCCCCTCCCTTGCTGACTCTGTTTCAGCTACATTGGCCTCTTTGTTTTTCCTTCAACGTGCAAAACACACACTTGCCTCAGGACTTTGCACTGACAGTTCCCTCTTTCTAGAACATTCTTCCAGTATATACCTACCTGGATTATTCTTGCTTCTCTAAAGTCTCAGCCCAAATGTCACCTCATCACTGAGGCCTAGCCAGACCATCCCAAAGCAGGTAAGAGCCACTTTTCAGCAGCTGCAGACACTGCAGGCTCCTTACACTTTTTTTTTTTCTTAAAGGTGCTGGGACTGAACCTAGGGCTGTAAGCATGCTAAGCAAGTGTTTGAACACTGAGCTGCACCGCCAGCCCAGCCTACTGCTTTACTTATTGACTTTTTTGAGACAGAGCCTTATGTATTCCAGGTTGATCTCAAACTCTCTATGTAGTAGAGGATGACTTTGAACTTCTGATCTTTTTACATTTACCTTGGGAGTGCTGGGTCCACAGGTAGGCACCACCACACCCGGTTTAATGCAGGAACCCAGGGCCTCATGCATGCTATGCCAACACTCTACCAACTGAGTCACAACCCCAGTTTCTATTTACTTTTGTTTGGTTTTTTGAGACACAGTCTCCCTATAGCCCTAGCTGGCCTGGAACTTGCTATGTAGACCAGGCTGGTCCTGATCTCAGAGATCTAATTGCCTCTGCCTCTCAAGTGCTGGGATTAAAGGCATGCACCACCACAAATGGCCTGTTTACTTATTTTTCCCTCTGTTTTGAGAAATATTCTTGTGTGCCCAAGGTGGCCTCAGACTCAATGTATAGCTGAGGATGACCTTGAAATCCTGAATTCTCCTGCCTTCACCTCCTAAGTGTGGCACACCACCATGCCCAGTACTGTTTTGTTTTTATCTATAGCATTTACCACCATTTGGTATAGGCATTTGTTTCCTGAATCAGCTCACTGGAATATAAGCTCCACAACTGTTTTACTTACTACTGTATCCCAGGACTCAGAATAGCTCCTGGCACACAGCAGGAACTCTGAATGTTTGTTGAATGAATGGATGAACATCTGCTACCGAGGCTATCAGCCAAGGCCTCTCCTCGATCCCATCTGCTCACCTGTAACCTTCCTTTGTGCTTCCCTTCTCCCCTGTATGGTCCTGTTCACACTGATTCTTTAGCATTCACCTAATTACAATTTTCAAATATCTATATCCCTCATCGTGTTCTCGCCCCTGATCCCACGACCTAATGCAACTCTCCAGGCAACGTCAAAAACCTTCCATGGCTCCCTAGTACCTACAGACAAAACACAAAGTCCAGAGTCCAGCACAGACAGCTCAGCCATGTGCTCTGGCCTCATCGCATGCTGAATTCCCCCAGGTACCTTGAGCTCAGGCTCCTTTGGTGATAACAGAAACCACACATAGCAGTATAGTATCTATTCATCTGCAGTGCCCAGCCTAGTCCCAGTACAGAGAGTGCTGGTGAGCTTTGTGTGAAGGAAAGAACCACATCTCCAGAACACCAGATACCTTATGGGTGACATTAGCTATCTCCAAAACTGGCTGGGTTTTTGTTGTTGTTGTTGTTTTATTTAATTAATTAATTTCTTCATTCTGAGACTGGGTCTCCTTGTAGCCCCCGCTGGCTTGGAACTTGCTATGTAGACCAGGCTGGCCTCGATCTCACAGAGATCGAGGAGACCCTGATTCTGCCTCCCGAGTACTGGGATTAACTACCATACCCGGCTAGACTGGCTTTATCACACTGGTTTTTGGTCTTTTTGAGACAGGGTCTCCCTGTAGCCCCAGCTGTCCTGGAACTCACTATGTAGACCAGGCTGGCCTTGAACTCACAGAGATCTGCCCACCTCTGCCTCCTGAGTGCTCTGATTAAAGGCGTGCGCCACCACACTCAGCCACACTGGTTCTTTTCTGGACCCAGCTGAACCCCAAGGCACTCCACAGTAGATGAGTGCTAGGCAGAGAAGAGGAAAGAGCACACAGAAGGTTGGCCCAGGCCACTCTAGGAACCACCAAAGTCCTTGACATATCCCCTGGGCTTTCTCCTTCTAACAATCTTTTGGCTCAGAGTACAAGCCCAGGCCCTCAGGAACACCCAATCGTGCTCAGCAGTACAGGTGATATTCCTAGTGTAAAGTCCTTTCAGAGGGTTGGGGAGGGGCTCAGTGGGACTTTAAAGTGCCTGTTGTGCAAACAAGAAGACCTGAGTCAGCACCCACATAAAAACCAGGTGTAAACCAGGCTTGGTGGCGCACACCTTTAATCCCAGCACCTGGGAAGCAGAGGCAGGTGGATCTCTATGAGTATAGGCCAGCCTGGTCTACATAGTGAGTTCCAGTCCAGTTGGGGCTACAGGGAGACCTGTCTCAAAAAGACTGGGAAAAAAGAAAGAAAGAAAAAAAAAAAGGTGTGGGTGGGGTAGAGACAGGTGGACCCCTTCAGAGCCAGTCAGTCTAGCCAACCAGTGAGCTCCAAGTTCAGTGAGAGACCCTGACTCAAAAAAAACAAGGTGGAGATCAATCCAGGAATACACGTCTGGCCAACATCAACCTCTGGCCTCCACATGAATGTACACATTTGTGCATATGTGCCCACATTCACATGATTCCCTCTCTCTCTCTCTCTCTCTCTCTCACACACACACACACAAGTAAGTCATTCTGGGGTTCAGGATGTAGCTCAGTTCATACAGAGCTTTCTTAGTTTGCCCATGGCTCTACATTCAATCCCTATCACCATATTAACCAGGTGTGGTGACAACATACACTTGTAAGTCTAGCATTAGTGAGGTAAGAGGCAGGAGAATCACAAGTTCAAGGTCATCACTCAACTATACAGCAAGTTAGAGGCCAGCCTGGGACATATATATATATCCCAGAAATGAAAAATGACAAGCCAGGCATGGTGATGCATACTTCCCAGCTCTTGGGAGGAAGAGGCAGGTAGATCTCTGTGACCAGCCTGATCTACATAATGAGTTTCAGGCCAGCTGGAGCTACAGGGAGACCCTATCTCAAAAAGAAAGAAAGAAAGAAAAAAAAAAAGACAGGAAACTGAACTGCACCATGGCTAGTAACAGAGGAATAGGGATGGGGGTAGGGTGTCGACACACAGTTTGGAAATGCTCCTCAGGTGTTCTCAGGTATGTGCAGTCTCATATCACACACACAGAAAGTCAATGCAGACTCAAGGTGTGAGAGAAGCCAGACTGAGTGCGAAACATGACGGCCAGTCTGAAGGGGGCAAGAGCTCCCGGGTTCCAGCTGCAGACAGTAGCAGTTCAGGCCCAGTGTTTTCAAAAGCAGCCAACCTCACCACTCCTTCCCAAAATCAAACTCAAAACAAAAAAGCCACCCTACATCTTGCAGGCTAAATGCAGCCATAGATAGAATCAACAGTCTGTGACCTGCAGCCAAGTTGCAGTATCAGTC